AAAAAAAAAAAACTCAGTTTGGAGAAAGTATCGTTTTCATTTCATATATCTATTTTTATAAACTTTTCTACCTCGGTTTCTTTCTGCAGAGAAACAAGAGATGTGACGAGCGATTTGGTGTTGGGCCTTTCGCGGGCCTCGTACTGCAAGCAACGGGTGGCCAACCGAACCAACTCAGTCCCATCATCGTTCGAGAAATGGCCCTCCAAGCAAGAATCTATGAGCATCAGAAAGTTCTTTCCCCTTATTAAATCAAGAGCCTGTCAAATAAGACATGGGTTAAGCAAATAAATTCATGTCATCGAGAAAATATAATAAATTCTGGGTTATGAAATAACAACTTCAAGATGCTCGGTAAGATTGAATGGCTTCTATTGTTTTCAAAAATATCCTTTTTTTTTCCACCCAAAAATTCGAAATAAATGACATACATGGCTGGGAGGTATATGCTTGCCACTCAAAAGATCGAGCAGCATGGTCCCGAAGCTGTAAACCACACTTTCGGGAATAACTCTTCCTGCGAATCACAAAAATGTTATTACAAGAAGAGTAAATCACACATTTTAAAAATTATTCACCGAACAAATCTTTTTATATTACTGTTTAAAGTATCATATGCATTTGTACCCGTTCGCAAGTACTCAGGGGGTGTGAAAGCTAAGTTTGTGCTGTAACTTTTTCCATCTCGACTATTCTTCATCAGTCCAAAGCAAGAAAGCCTCGGGTTACCATCCTTATGAACGAGCAATTGCGTATAAGACCACACAATTCTAAAAAATATGATAAAAAGCAAAACAAAACAGAAGACATTACTTTCACCTTACCTGATCAAACAAAACTCTGTAGGCATTAAGATCGTGATACAAAGCTCGTCCCTTACTACTGCAGTAATCGAGAGCTTGGGCCAAATACAATGCCACCCTTAACCTCATTGCCCATTTCATAGGTTGCTTGTCCCCTATTACAACTCAGCACACAAGCACACACATAAGTAACTGAAGATAAAAAAAAGGCCACTCGATTTTTTCGAAACGATCCCAAAGATGCTAGGAGATTTTTCCTTTTTACAAAATTATAGTAAAACAGAAGGCAAACTTCTAGTTCTTGTAAGTACTTGCTATGAATAATGGTTGAGTTATTAAATGAAGTGATATTATGAGACTCACAATGAAACAAATGCTTAGCCAGGGTCTCGTTGGGCATAAATTCTGCTACTAGCAATCTCTCTTCCCCTTCAAAGCAACAGCCGATCAGATTTGCCAATCGCTCGCTCCTCAGACTCCCCACGGCCTTCGCCTCATCCTTCATAGTTCACCCGAAAACATTATTAACACACTCAAATAAATGAACAAGAACAAAGTACACCCATAACATTGTTTCAGTTTCAAGGCTTCTATAAAGGCCTTCTACAACTAAACCAAAAAACAGCATATCACTAACCAGAAATTGGCGAGAATCAGACCAAGCAGATTTATTAAAGCGCTTAACCGCAATAAGCTGTTCGTTTTCAAGCAACCCTCTGTAAACAACATTCGGAGCTTTCTCTCCATGCTCCGAAACAATG